TTCATCGTCGACAACGACAACCAATTCGTCCACTGATCCGATACCTAATACTACTACTAGTGCTGAGGCCAACAACCATCAGAGCCAACAAAAACAGGACAACACTACCGATGCTGACGACGCCGACGAACCGGGACTCGAGTCGCTGAAACTGTTGTTGGCTTCGCGTCTAACCGATGCCGCACACAGTCAGGCAACACAAGTGGCCAAACAGATGCACGAGTTAAGAGTGGATCAGAAACGGCTACAAACGGAAGTCCAGAAGCAGAAGCAAGAGTTAGGCGAACTGAGCGTTAAGTACGAGCGCCGCAAACAACGACATCGGGAAATGATTTCACGGCTCAGGTATGTGTGTGTGTGTGTAGATGTGTATGTGTATGTGTATGTGTATGTGTATGTGTATGTGTATGTGTATGTGTATGTGTATGTGTATGTGTATGTGTATGTGTATGTGTATGTGTATGTGTATGTGTATGTGTATGTGTATGTGTATGTGTATGTGTATGTGTATGTGTATGTGTATGTGTATGTGTATGTGTATGTGTATGTGTATGTGTATGTGTATGTGTATGTGTATGTGTATGTGTATGTGTATGTGTATGTGTATGTGTATGTGTATGTGTATGTGTATGTGTATGTGTATGTGTATGTGTATGTGTATGTGTATGTGTATGTGTATGTGTATGTGTATGTGTATGTGTATGTGTATGTGTATGTGTATGTGTATGTGTATGTGTATGTGTATGTGTATGTGTATGTGTATGTGTATGTGTATGTGTATGTGTATGTGTATGTGTATGTGTATGTGTATGTGTATGTGTATGTGTATGTGTATGTGTATGTGTATGTGTATGTGTATGTGTATGTGTATGTGTATGTGTATGTGTATGTGTATGTGTATGTGTATGTGTATGTGTATGTGTATGTGTATGTGTATGTGTATGTGTATGTGTATGTGTATGTGTATGTGTATGTGTATGTGTATGTGTATGTGTATGTGTATGTGTATGTGTATGTGTATGTGTATGTGTATGTGTATGTGTATGTGTATGTGTATGTGTATGTGTATGTGTATGTGTATGTGTATGTGTATGTGTATGTGTATGTGTATGTGTATGTGTATGTGTATGTGTATGTGTATGTGTATGTGTATGTGTATGTGTATGTGTATGTGTATGTGTATGTGTATGTGCTATAGTGTGTATGAGGTATTTAAGTAATTATTTTTTTGTGGTTTTAATAGACAATATACGGAACGGGAGACCCGGGAGTTGTATAAGACATTGCAAACCGTTGAATATAAGTACAAATTGATTGATGAAGAGCTACATAAGCACAGAAAGTACTGTCCCATACAAGACATTACTGCCATCAATGAGTTGAGATAATTATTATTGTTTTATGTTTTTTATGGGACTTATTATTGATAAATAAATTTATATATAAGTAATTGATTTTATAAATAGATATTTTTTTCATAGATGTTTGTCCACCACTACTACTACTACTATAGATTAGAAAACTATTTTTGTTTTTTATAATTATTACTAAATTATTAAATTATATATAATATAATAATAAATAATTTATTTATTAAATTTGTTAAAGTTATAAACTATCTGTTTTCTATATAAAAAAAATTGCTAGGTGATAATTTTGTAAAATTAAAAAAAAAATATCTATATAAATTCATAAATATAATAAAAATAAGTTTTATTTGTATTTTTTAAAAATATATAATTATTAATATATTTATTTAATAAATAAATAAATAAAATTTGTTTAAAAATTAAATTGTTTTATTTTATTTTATTATAAAGATAAAAAATTTTGTTAAATTAAAATAAACAATTAATATTACAATTAATTATTTAAAAAAAAAATTACAAACATAAACTTTAATAATATTTATAATAACTTAATTTACATTTATTAAATATTAATACAATATTCAAAATTAATTAAATTAATAACTAGTAATAATTAAAATAATTAATAATGTAAACGTAATAATAATAATTATAATATTATATAATTATATTTTACAAATTAAATTTTGTTTTAAAACTACAAATATATAAATTTTATTATAGTTATAGTATAACTAATTAAAAAAAAATTGTTACATCATTATTTAAGCGCAAAAATAATTATAAAATTAAATTTATACTAAAATTATTTTTAATTTTAATAAAATATTTATTGATGCAACAAAATAAATACAGTATATATATAGTGTAAAAAAATTTTTTTAGCATGTATGTTTATTTTATTTAGTTTATATTTTGTAAAAAACAAATATAACTTTTAAATTTTGATTATAATAATAATTATTATCTAGCTAAAATATTTATTTTTTAAATATAAAAATGGGTGACAACGAAAACAATACATTTGAAAAACGGTTGTTTCAAAAGGCCAAACTAGTGCCGGGAGTCGGTATGGCCTACGGTTTGGTCCGTATGTTTCCCTATGCCGTTACCGGCGACCGGCGCGAGTGTCTGAAAAGTGCAACGGGAATGTTGGGCAATATGGCCGAAACGGTACTATTGGCCGGCGGTTTTGCCAGTATGGGTCCGGCCGGTGCTATCGGCGGCGGTGTGGCCTCCAAAACCGTATGGGCCGGACTCGACCAGATCGAGTCGGTCGACAAAAAGTTTAACAACAAATAATAATAAATCATTTGAATTGATTTATATAAAAATAAAAAATTTATATAAATTTATTTATTTGTATAATTAATGTTTTATATTTATAATGTATAATAATAATAATAATAATAAAACTTTTGATAATTAATTGCTATTGGTTAAATAATTATTGTTATTGTCATAATCATAATTATTATAATTGTTATTAAAATTTCTGTATAATTTATTATTATTATTATTAGTATTAGTATTCATATTATTGCCCGATCTATAGGAACCACTGGTAGCACCCGATGCTTGATAGCCATTACTGGATGACCCGTAGCCGCTATTACTACCGGTGCCGTAACCACCACCACCACCACCACCACCACCACCACCACCACCACCACCACCACCACTACTACTACTACTACTCAAACTACTACTGTAGCTCTGATAGCTACTACCGATACCACTGGAGATATCATTTGAATAACAATTATTATTATTATTATTATTATCCATTTGATAATATGATGGATAGTAACTACCACTGCTCGGTGGTGATGGTTGACTTTGGCTGTAAAAAAAAATAAATAAAATAAAATATATATATTTGATATAAAAGTTTATCTGTTATATCCATTTAAAATATTAATAATAATAAATATCTATAAATACATTTTTTTTAAATACTTAACAAATTTAAATAATAAATTAAAAATTTAATTTTACAATTAGTAGAAATTTTTTATAAATTAATTATTATAATTAAATTATATGTTTATTTAATTATTAAGTTAATTATTAAGCTATAAAATAATGCTATCTATCTTATCTAAATATAAAATAGTTTTTATTTTTAAAGTTTAAATTTAATTTAACATTTGACATTAATTAAAGTCAAATAATAGATAAATCCTAATTTTTTTTAACAAAATAAAACTATTAAATATCATTAAATTTTTTAAAAAACAATTTTTGTTAATTAGAATAAATTAGCTAGATAATTTTTGTTGTTGTTGGAAAACAACTAATAAAATTTAATAGAAAACAATTTAATTATTTTTGATAATAATTTTTTTCATTTTAAAAAATAAATAATAATTATCCAAAAAATTTTTAATTAATTAGATTACCCGCCAGTTTTGATGATCAATATTTTCGGACCCAATAGCAGTAGTGGTAATAGTTTTTTCATTTTTTTAGCTTTTTTGGCCGCTTTCAGGACTTTTTTCAGTACCGGTACGTCCAGACCGTTGTGTCCATCAGTGAAATCAATTAAAATTTCAGTACTAATTAGTAAACCGATTAACAAATAGATAAAAAGTTTTCGACATTTTTTTCCACAATTTAAACTCATCGTTAAAATTATCAGAAAATAATAATAAAAAATAATTAATTAATTAATTAATTATAAATTATTATCTAAATTATTAGTTTAGAAAAATTATTGTTGTTTTTTAAATACAAATTAAATATATATATAATTAACAACAATTAACAAAATTATAAAATCAATATATATATATAATAATTAAAATTAACAAAATATATAAATATATATATATTTTTATGAAATAAACAAAAAAGAGTACAAAATTTATTTTTACTATCAATTTATAGGAAAATTGTTGTTTAAATGCCTAATCATTTTGTGTTGTAAAACTAATTATAGGTTGCAATTGTAATAATATATATTAAATATTAAATACTAAACTAATTATTTTGTGTGAAACTTAACAATAATAATAATAATAATAATAATAATATATCATATGCTTATGTCATCATTGAGACTAAAATATAAAGATATATATACAATGATATAAAACATAATATATTTTATTAATAATAAAATTATTTTGATTTAAAAAAAATATATATTTTAAACTAAATAATAAAAAAGTCATTAAAAATATTTTTTTTTTAAACTAATAATATATTTGTATAAAGTATTGAATGAATTTGCTAAACAAACAAAATTATTATTATTAAAAAACTATATCATAACTTATTTTTATATGAAAACAATAGTTTATATAATTTGTAATAATTTTAATTAAATTAATACAACACCAAAAAAAAATCATTAAAATATTACAAAAAAAATAAAAAATATTAATATATGTGTAAAATATTATTATTATTATTACCATAAATGAAAAACTTATTTAATTTATTTTTGTTGTAAAAAAATATATATATTTTTTAATTACATTTCAATTAAATAATTAAAATTTGTTATATTTTTTTATATTATATAATACTAATGAATGACTTGAAAAAAAATTTATTAATTAATTTCAATTAAATTCAATTAAAATAAGTAATTAATTCAATGAAATGATTGAATGAAAAGATGATTCAAAGATTTTCATTCAAAAAGTCAATGATCTTTGCGTTGACATCAATGATAAAGTCGTTACCGCCGTCAGCGGCGCCGCCGCCACTGTTGGCCGCGGCTAACATCGGATGACTGACCGATACATAGACTGGTCGCGACTTATTGTATTTGCGGCTCAACTTAGAGGCCAATCCAGGACTTAGCTGTTGAATGGCTGGACCACTGCCGCCACCGCTGCCGCCGCCGCCAGCGGTAGATACTATTGGTGTCGAATGGGCGCCAATAGCTAGCGATAGATCGGTCAACGAGTTGGTGGCCGCGGCGGCCGATTCGCCGATCCATAGCAGGAACGACTGGTCAAACTTGATAAGCAAAAAGGTTGCCAATTGATTGGTCGCCGCAAACTCGTACTTCTTCTCAACGATTTTTACCGCCGATGACGAGTCAGTACTACTACTACTGTTGGCCACTGTTTGTGACATTTTTTTCTAGTCGGGTGTCGATGGGGTGGGGGTTTCCGCGGGGGTGGGGGTGTAATGTCTGTATGTCTGCCAATAAAAAAAATAAAAGTTTTTTAATTGAATTAGTAATTAATTAATAACTTTTTTTTTATATTATATAAAGTTTAATAAATAAAAAAAACATTATTTATGTACGACCCCCTATTTAATATGTTACATAGTCAATTTGTTGATATTTTTAAAAAACACAAACACATTTTAACATAACAAATAAAATTATTTTTTTTAAGTAAAAATTATTATTAAATAAGTAGTATTACCCGTAAATAGTAATGTCCACCACCAACACTGGTACCGATAGTCCGGCCACACGGGTAAGTGATTTAATTAATTAATTTTGTTTTTTAATTTTTAAATTTTTTTTATAATAATAATAATGCAAAATCATAGCACAGTTTACAATAGGACATTACATTATATAAATAATAAATGTAAATAGATAAAACTAGATTCATACATAAAGTACGTTGAAAATTAATTTTGCGCTAGTTACAAAATTATTAAAAAATAAATTTTAACCTTGCTAATTAATTTTCCACAATAAAATAATTTAAATAAACAATTAAATTACTTTGTTTAATTACAATATTAATAATAATTATTATTAAGTTTTAATAAATTTATTTTTATTTATTTAACTATAGCTATTAACAATTTTTTTAAAAAATAATTAAATTTTTTTAATTACAATAATAATTATTATAATAATAAGTTTTAATAAATTTATTTTTTTTTAATTTAGCTATAGCTATAACTATTAAATAATTTTTTTTAATAAAAATGATCTAGTTACTAATATTTTTAAAAAATAAAAATTATAAAAAATATATTTTCTAATAAAAAAATTTAATTTTTTTGTTTGTTTTTAAGGCCGAGTTTGCCGTCGAAATGCACTGCCAGTCATGTAAGGACAAGATAGCCGCCGAAGTGGCCAAACTTCGCGACGTACGGATAGTGGACATTGATGTCGACCAACAGAAACTGGTAGTCGAGCTGTTGTCGCCAACAACCGGCGGTTCATCTGTTCACGAGATACAGTCGGCTATCGAGTCCGGGTGTGGCCTACGGACAGTTGTCAAAGGTCTCGGCGATAGTTTGGCCGCCGTTAGCGAGATTACCGGTTAGTCAGTTAGTTAATTACCGAACAAAATACATCCCGACCTGTATTTCACGTTTATCTAACACTCTTTCGGTCATAGGTTACGATGATATTGTCGGTGTCGTCCGATTTACACAACAAACGGCGACTTCGGCGACGGCCAATCAGTGTCTGGCCGACGGTGTTATCGATGGTCTCAGGGCTGGCCAACGATATTCGTTGAATGTCCACGAGTTTGGCGATCTAAGTGGCGACCGATTTGAACACTTGGGCTCAGTCTATAAGCCGGTGATCGGCGGCGGCGGCAGTGATGATGAACTGACAGCCAATGACCTGTCGTATCCATCGCGCGGTTCGTTCAAACGCTTGATTGCCGACTGCGATCTGAGCCGTTTTATTGGCCGCTCGCTGGCCATCAGCCGTTCAAGCGATCGGACGGTAGTCGGCGCCGGTATTGTCGCCCGAGCGTCGACAGTGGGCGACAATTCCAAGCGTATCTGCGCGTGCAGTGGCCGTACCCTATGGGACGAGCGGGCCATCAAACAAGAGGACAAAACCAGTAGATTATAAATAAATATATTAAAAAAAAATAGTTATTATTATTATTATTATTATTTTAGTTAACTATTATTAACTATTTAATTATATATAATAATAGTTTAGTTATTATTATTATTTTTTTGTGGATACAAATTGATTACTTAATTATTGTTTTTTTAATAATTGTTTTATAAATTTTATATAAATTTTTTTGTTTTGTTAATAACTTGTTATGAGATTTAAATTATTTTTATAAAAGTTTTTGTTATTTTTGTTGTATTTTTTCAATTTTTTTCTCCAAAAGTTTTTTATTTATTATTTTTTTCTGACAATAGGTTCGGAACTAGTGTTCAGTCCAAGCGATTACTACTGTCCAACAATTGTCGGCAACTTATCTGAAGATCGTCCACTGGACCGACTGTTGCGGTCAAAATGGACGGCCAGACTCTCTGTGGACGGTGTATTCAACTATAAAGTTACCGAAAACTCGCTAATCTCGAAACGACTGGACGGCCGCTACGGTATGATAGCTGTACTGAATCCGGATCGTCACACGAAACGCCGTCGGCCACAGTTGACCACCGATTTGCGGCAATCGTTCGACGAAAACAGGTTTAACTTTACTCGTATAAAACCCGCAGAAATACTATTCAGTGTCCAGTCCAGCGGTGGCCAACTTTCGGGTACAATTGTGGTCAATCAGTCGCCAATTGAGTTTTGTAATGCCCTACTAGTGCCGCGACTCGAAGCCCGTCGACCACAACGGTTGACCGCCGACTCGCTAGAATTGGCCATCAATTTGGTGGCCATCAGCGGTCGCCAGGAGTTGAAACTCGGTTTCAATTCGTTGGGTGCCATGGCTTCGGTTAATCATCAACACTGGCATCTATACTACTATCGACACCCGATACTAATCGAATCGCTGGCCATTGACCAGCAAACTCATCGGCTAATCGGTTGGCCAATCGATACACTGGTCTACGAGTTCGGTATCGATCCGACAACTATACGATCGACTGTCCAGAAACTGATGCAAATCATAGACTACTGTATCAACAATAATATTGCATACAATCTGTTTGTTAGCCGTACTCCCGCTTCGGCTGCCGATGACGGGTCACGTATACGTGTGTTTGTATGGCCTCGGGAACCCGTGTTTGGCCAGAAAGATGATTCCCAAATAAATGTTGCTTTCTGTGAGTTTACCGGATTTTTTATATGCAAATCACGGGAAATGTTTGACACTATTGATGAGGAACTGTGTGTCCGACTGTTGACGGATGTCGACACCAAATGCCATGATTTACAACATTTGTTATGATATTGTATTTAAAAATATATATATTTTTTAATTATTTTTTTTATTTTATTAAATGTATTTTAATTTTTATATATACTGTAGTGTTGTTTCTGTTATTAGTTTTTGATATTTAAATAATAATTATAATAATAAAATTAAATATTTTAATATTTAGTAAATATTATATATTGGAATTAAATGCAGATTTTTGTTTAATTTTTATTTTTTGGTATAATTTTTTAATTAATTAATTAATTAACTATTGATTTTTAATCAATTAGTTACTTCAGATAATTTTATAATAAATAATTTTATTTTTGAATTATTAAGGTTAGTGTAAAAAATTATTTTTTTTAAATCATTATTTTTAAAAATTTCTATGAAATTATTGATTAATTAGTAAATAAGTGTTGATTTTTTTTTTAAATAATCTTAATTTACAAGTGATATATAATCTGTGAAATTATTTTTTTAAAACTTTCTATAATTAAATTATAAAACTTTAGTTTATTATTAAATTTATTTAAAAAATGTTGTTTTATATTATTTTTGTTATGGCAATTAAATTTGAATATATAATAATAAAGTAAATTAAAATAATATTTAAATTATTTGTTATTATTATGAGTCAACAAACAAAATAAAGATTTATCATATAATTACTATTTATTTGTAATTGTTTTGATAAATTGTTATACAAAAAAAACCAGTAGCTATTGATTTATATATAAATTTAATACAAAAAAATATAACAAAATTATACAAAAATATTTACTAAATCATAATAAACTAATAATTAAACTGTAGTTTGGGTTTGTGTGGGGAATGACCTAATCATACATCAGACATGACTATCCCTTTTAAAAAAAATATTTATATATAATAATAATTTTATAATTTAATATAAAAAAAATTTATGTGCATTCATTAAATTAAATTTAATATATATTTTGTATTAATTATTATATTTATTTATTTTTTGTTGTTGGCTATAATAATAATGAGTTATTAATAATATACTGTATTTTTGACATAACATATAGACACCAAAAATAAATAAAAAAATAAAACATTTTAAATATTATGGGCTATGCCTGCAGTTTATAAATTCAAACCCATTGCCAATATATTTATTGTTTATATATAATATAATATATCTTATATATCAATATATAATTATATATTTAAAATCTTTTATACAAATTGCTGTATAAATTACTAAATAATTTAAATAACTAGACTTAATTGAAATGTTAACTATTAAGATATATATATATATATATTATTTAAATTTGTTTATAAATATTCGGGAACTTAAGGAATTTTTATTATTTTGGATTTTTGAAAAAATTGCCGTTTAAAAATGCAATAAAAATACCCCACCCAATACCCCCCCCCCCCCCCCAAGATTTTTTGAGAATATAAATCCAAAACCTTGCTTAACCCTGATATCAATATATAATTATATATTTAAAAACTTTTATATACAAATTACTGTATAAATTAGTAAATAATTTAAATAACTAGACTTAATTGAAATGTTAACTATTAAGATATATATATATATATTTTTATTGTAAATAAATTAATCTAATTTATATTGATATATATCTATATATATATAAATAAATTTATACCAATATATTTATATGTATAATAATTGTGATTGTAATTAAAATGACATTTTCTAATAATACATTTTTTTCAATTTATGATAATTAACTTGTATTTTATATATATATTGATATTACTAATTAATAACCGGATCAGTAATTATATATATATATATATGAACATGAAATCATATGATTAAAAAATTTTATGGGTTAACTAAACTTATCAAAAATAAAAAAATTAACAATTAAAATGTTTTAATTTTACTATAAATAAAATTATTAACAATTATTTTTTAATAAATTTATGATTTTAATTACTAAATTTAGTTGTATGTAGAAAAATTAATTAGTGTAGAAATAATTTAATTCAAATTATTATTTATTTATTAAAAAAACATAATAATAATTATTTTTATTGAAGATAAATATTAAATAATATTTTTAATAAATATAATTTTTATTTTATTATTTTAATGTTTATTTTTGTTATAATAATACTTATATTATCGTATTATTGTTATTACTTATAATCTCTAAATCTAATTTTGGATAAAAAATTTGTATCATTTTTTTCTAAATAAAAAACTAAATGAAATTTATTTTAAATAATAATTACATTTTACTTTTTTTTTATATATAATGTGATACACAATATGACAGATAGTTTTATTCAATTAAAAATATTTATCAATTAAACATCAAAAAATAAAACTAAAATCTTTTTTAAATAAAATTTATGTATTTTTTTCAATTATGAATTAAATTTTTAATTAATTTTTTATAGTTTTTTTTTTATTTTCAATTTGTTAATACTGTATGAAAATCAAAATTATATACTAATAACTTTTTTCATATATATATATACTGTATAAATATAATTTAATTTTTTTTATATTGAAAATAATATTTATTGGTATCATTGGCCGATAAAAAATGGGCCAATTATTGTGTAGTAGTAGTAGTAGTAATAGTAGGGTATCTCCATTAGCTCAGGTAGTTATTAGTAAAATCCGATTGACTGTAAAGTAATAGAGAGAGAGAGAGAGAGAGAGAGAGAGAGAGAGAGAGAGAGAGAGAGAGAGAGAGAGAGAGAGAGAGAGAGAGAGAGAGAGAGAGAGAGACTGTTTTAATAATTATGTATTTTTAGTTAACCACTGGTTCAACAACTCTCTCTCTCTCTCTCTCTCTCTCTCTCTCTCTCTCTCTCTCTCTCTCTCTCTCTCTCTCTCTTAACATATGTCAGCAAAAAAAATCTTTTACTTTAAAAAATTATATTTTTATTATAATTATTAATAGTATTATTTGAATAACATTTATAATAATTATTTTTATTTATAATATACCGTATAATTAATATGCAATTTATTTACTGTTTGTTAGATTATATTGAAATTGTTTTTTGTTAAACATAAAAAAAACAATTCAATTGTCTTTTATATGATCATTGATTATACTGTATATACAGTATTATAATGACTGCTGATATATAATCATTGTGTGTTTGGATGTATAACAGTGGGTGAGTTTTTTTTATTGTTGTTGATTAAAGTATATCATAAGCACAGGTATGTTAGCTTATATCATAAGCACAGGTAGTAATAATAGTTTATATTATATTAATAGTAGTCACACACAAAAAAAAACATATATTATTATTATTTAGTATTCATAATCTAAATTAATCAATTTTAGTTGATTGTATGGATTTATTTTTAGTTTATTATTATTATTATTATTATTGTATATTATTATTAATATTATTTTTATATGCATTTATGTTAATTTATATCAAGTTTTAAAAAATTCATTTTCAATTATACTATATTTGAATAGTATATGAAATTGAAATTTATTTATTTAGTATTTATTTTGTTGATTATATATTATTATTATTAATATTATTATAATTAATATTATTATAATAGACTTGTTTTGTTTGTTTATTTGTTTAAAAGTTAGAAACGTTTGAATAATCATATTTACATTATATATATATTTATAATTTGAAATATGATACCTAAAAATAACATTTAAATTTAAATTTATAATTAAATAATATTTAATAATAATAATAATAATATGTTGTAATTAAGTTTTTATTATCTAATACAATAAATAAATTAATTTTTTTTTAAAAAAACATATAAATTATGTGTGAAATTTGTATTTATTAATATAAACATATTTTATTAGTTTTTTTTATAGTTATTTTGATAGACGATTAAAATTAAATCTCACATAATGTTAGAAATAATTTTTATTTTATTAGTTGTAGAAAAAAATATTAAAAATATTTTACAAAAATAGTTTTTTGTTATCTTAAATATTTATATTTACAGTATAATTATAATGTAATTTTTAGTTTTTTTTTGAAAAAGGGATAAACATTTGTTTAAAAACTTGTTTTTTTGTTGTTGAAAATTATTTTAAAAACTGATAACTTATCTAATATTTTATTATTATTTTTCACAAAAAAAAAGTTATATTGAATTTAAATAACATTATCGCTATTTAGATGTCAAAACAAAAAATAATAATAATTTTTAAATAAAAATTATTTTATATTATTTTTCACACTTTAATGACAAATAAAATGTTTTGTTTCAAAAGATAACATTTCATACATAATAATTAATAAAATGTTTTTTTTAAAATTATTATTTATAATTATATTATATGTTATAAGATATATGTATTATTAATAAATGCATAATAAAAATGTTTTCAACAAAATAAAAAAAAATATAATATTATTGAGATAATTGAGATAATATTATAATTGAGATAAAATAATAATAATAATAATTTTAGATAATTTATCATTAAATTTTATTAATTTGTTTGTAATAATATATTTAAACTGATAACATATAGTTTAGTAATCTATCACACGATATAACATTAAAAAATTTATTTATAGACACATAAAAAAAAATTTTGAAAAAATTATTAAAAGATTATTAGTATTAATACTATTACTAATAAATATATACTATATTTATAATATAACACTATTTAAGATGAGATTATTTTTATTATTATCTTAGATTATGTAATATCTTATATATAAATAATAATAATATTATTATATACTCTATATATTATATGTGAAATAATTTATAGAAAAGTGTTATTATATTATATTATTAAAAAGATAATTAAAAAAATAGATAACAATTTTATTATTAATTAAAATAATATATAGAAATTTTTTTCTAACTTAATAAAACTTTATTATATCGTATTATACATTATTTATTTTTTTATACATATATATTATTAATATATATATATATATAAAGTTATTTATATTTAATAATAAAAATTATCACATAATTTGTTTTTATTTTCATTAAAACTAATAATAATAATAATTATAATAATAATAATAATAAAATGTTACTAAAAATATACTCAAAAAAATGATTGTTTATTTTATTTGTTAATAAACAGTATATTTATTTATATCTATTTCACCGAAAAAAAAACATTATTTTAGTTAAAAAAAATTCAAACCTAAAGTCTAGCCTCAAAACAATTAAATAATTTATATAAAAATTTTGTATTTAATTTTTAAAAAAGTCTACTTATAATTAACACATTTTATTCAATAATAATAATAATTATTATTATTATTACCATTATTTTTTAATTACAAATTTTTATTAACATTTAGTTTTATAGTTTTTTTTGTTTTTTTTGTTAATTGATGATCATAAATAGATTTTTTTAAAAATGTTTCATATTTTTATTAAAAAAATTAAATAATTTCTAGTTAATATTAATTTTTATTAATTTATTTGATATTAATATTTTTGCTCCAAATAATATATATATATATAGCTATTAAAACAAATAATACTAAATATAATTTTTTTTTATTTTTCAAAAATAATATTTATTTATCTAAATATTTTTTATTAGAAACACTATTGGTTTTATATAAATATATTTAAATTATAAATATACTAATGATATGTCATTATTTTTTTGATATAACAAATAATATATTATAATAAAATTTAGATTTAAAAAAATAGTTATTACAAAAATATAGTAGTATTAGTAGTTTAATTATTAAACTAAAATTATATACAATTTATTTTAACATAATATGAAATTAAATTTTTTTATTTTTACTGTAATTGGATACGTGATGTGTAGACAATTGTTTGCATATATTTATTTTATAGTTTACTTATTATAAAAATTTTACTATTATTTATTTTCAAACTATTAAAATCGTATTAAAATAGTTTTATTGTGTAATTAAAGATAAATATAATTTATTTTTAATAATATACTGTATATTGTCTTATTTACTATTATTAGTAACTAATATTATTATTATTATTAATAGTATTTTAATTTATAGTGTTTACATATATATATATATAGTGCAATAAAAATTAATAAGTATATAATAAATAATAATAAATAATAATAAAAAATAAAATAATAGAATTTTTATTTTATTTTTTTTATAGTTTTATTATATTATTATTAAATGTTTTTTTATTAAATTTTTTATAACTCTCTCTCTCTCTCTCTCATAGTTAAAATAAAATTGATTATTCATATATATAAATAAATTTTTATATACATATGTATATAATATATATAAACTTTTACAATTGACATTTGGTTTACTAAACAAMAAAAAAATAATAAAATAAAAAATAAAATCTGTAACAAAATAAAAAACACCAACAAAAATGCAATTGAAATTTTGCTTTAAGGCATTTAGGATACATATATATATATATATATAACTACAGGTATTTATAGCCCAATTGGAGATACCGGTGCTACTATTTTTGGGGTGACTACTACTTACTAATAAATTAATAAAAATAAATAAATAAAAAAAAACTAAATTATAATACCGGTGCACTTGTGTATGTTTGTATGTATTCAAACACAATTGCTTTATAAAGTATATATATACTGTATATTAGATAATAATTTTTTTAAGTATATTATACGGTTTATAAACTACACTGTATTAGTAGTATTATTATCAATGGCTCTCAAATATATATATATATTATAGCCTATAATAGTTTGAGATATATTTTAAATTAATTTTTTTTTCAATTTTTTAAATTAAATATAAGATACAAATAGGAGGCGATTGAGAGCACTGTTACTTTTATATATATATATATATATATAAATACATACCTTTCCTCTCTCTCTCTCTCTCTTTCTCTTTCTCTCTCTCTCTCTCTCTCTCTCTCTCTCTCTCTCTCTCTATATATATATATATATATATATATATATACCAAACATGTTATATAAAAGTTGATACTAGTATTAGTAGTTGTAAATCAATAGTTAGTTTTATTTTATATTTTAAAAAAAGATAATAAATGTAATGTAATAATACTGTACTACTAATAATACTACAGTAATATTATTTGCTCTGATTTTTTGTTAAAAGTTTTATTAGTATTACACAATACACAGTTAGTTGCTGTCAATAAAATATAAAATACTATATATAAACTATTCAAATATTATTTTATTTTTTATATATATATATATTTTTTCACAGACAGTCTATGTATGATAACAACAACAATGATTTTACATTAAGATATTAACAATAAGTTTTAATAATAATAATAATAATATTATTATTAGTCATATATATGTATATAATTTTAACCACTAAAACATACATACAGTGTATGTCAATTTAAATACATGTTATATATACATGTATATGATTTGACTGATATAGACAACTAAAATAAATTATTTTTAAAAAATAAAATAAAATTGTTTTCTCAAACAAACAACAAAAAATTATTTTTATTTGTGATATGAAAGTGAAAAACATGTACAGAAAAAAATCAGTTTTTTAATCAATTGATATTTTAATATAAGATTTTTAAAAGTTTTTTTTATGTGTGAAACCCATAATAAATGTTTTCACAACAGAGAAAAAATTTATTTTTATTTATTTTATTTATTTTTTTGAAAACAGCATTTGATTTTAAAGATAAATTATATATTAACTGTTTGTTTCTTGTTTACTATTAGTTTAATATAATAATAATAATAATAAATTTTGTGTTATTTTATTATTTAATTATTGTCGATAAATATATGTGTGTTATCTATGATAATATAAAAATTTTATTATTATTATTATTATTATTATGTGTGTGTGAATGAGTTAGTTTAATTTTTATCATTAAACTGGATCATATAAGTAAAAATTATTTATATATTATATATATATATATGTATATAATATTTTCTAGAAAAATAAAATAAATAAATAAAAAGTGAAAAAACAATTTTGTTATGAATTTTTTGTTGATTGAAAACCTCAAAACTTACAGTTAGTTTTTCCTAAAATTTATTTCTAAATTTCAAACTTAAACTAAAAGTGTTTTGTGTTGTTGTTGTGATTCAAATATTTTCAATAATACTAATAATAATAATAAATAGTTAAATATTTGTTTAATAAAATGTTATAAATTTATTCAAAAAATATTTTTAATAATAATAATAAACAGTTAAATATTTGTTTTAAAATGTTATAAATTTATTCAAAAAAATATTTTAAATTTAAATATAATATTTTATATCAATATTAAAATACTACAGTAGCTATAAAATATGATTAATATTATTTGAATAATAATAATAATAATAATAATAAATGTTATAATAATATTTACACATAATTAATTTCAATAATAAATATTTAAATTTTTAAAAATGTCAAAATAAATTATATGCTTAAGTTATAGTTTTTTTTATTAAATCTAATTAATTTGCATATATTTAAATATATACATCAAAAAAAAAAAGTTTGAAATGTTTTTTTGTTGTTGAAATGTTATGAAAACAATATCACTTTTGATTGATTTATTTAAATATGTAAACTATAAATAAAAACTAGTTTTCATATATATATATATTTTAGTGATTAAGTGATACACAAAACTGTTGTTCAAAAATTTAAAATTGTGTTACAAATAATTTTTTTTGTGTTTTAAATAAATGATTTCATTTAAATAAATTTTTTTTGATTGAAATTTAATATTTAAATATTTAAATATTAATACTCTATATATTTAATACTAAAGTGACGTTTTCTACTATTTTGTTGTATTTTTTTTATAAAAAAAATTTTTTTAAGACAAACAACAAAATTGAGATTAAAATAGTTTCAACAAAAAAAAATTATAATAAATTATATTTTTAAAAATATATATATATATAAATTAACAATAATACAAAAAATTTATATACATTTATGTATTTCTATAATTATATTCAACAATAAAAAAAATATTTAAATATTTTTTTTGTGGACATCACAAGTGCAGTGTAATTAAATACTGTGTCTGTATTTAGTAAATGTATTTAAAAATTATTATTATTTTCAATTGAGATTAAAACTAATATAAAAAAATTGTTTTCTAAAACTCTTTTATCTTTTTTATGCATTTTTTTGAATGACAATCAAAAAAAAAACAAATTTTTGTTTTGAAAACAAATTCGTGTTTTTCAAAAAAAATTGTGTGTTTTTTTCATAAACATTATTACAGTATTATTATTATTATTATAATAGTGAACATAAATATTAAATTTATATGAATATAGAAATAAATTATTTAAAAAACATATTATAATTAATTAAACATAAATTAATTATAATATGTTTTCTAAATAAAATTATTAATAATTTTATTCAAAACAAAACTGTGAATTAACTGTTAAATAAAAAACAAAACAAATATTGGATTTAATTTTAAAGTATATTTATTTTTGAATATTTATAGTTAAAAAAAATAGTGATTAAAAGTGATTTTTAAATAATAATAATAATTTCATTCAAAACAATATATTTTATATATATATAAAAAATGTGATTACATATTGTGTTATATGTTTTATATACACAAAAACACATCATTATAGTGATTGCAACAAAAAAGTTTGCGTCAAAAAAAACTCAATTTGTTATGAAATAACAAAATGTTATAATATTTATATATATATAAAAAATTAAATTAAATATAATTAACAAACAAAAAAAATAATATTTAACTATTTGTTAGATATTTATTATTGTGTCAAATATCTACTAACTGTCCAAATAAAAATAAAAATGCCAAATAATTTTCTACATAATAATTATTATTACATAACATTGACAATAGTAGTACTCAGTGTACTACCGGTGCCCGATAGGGTTAGTGGTGGCCATAAATTTGATAAGCCATCCAAACTGGAACTCCTAAACTTTTTGGTAAACGTTAGAAACTATAATCCACTGAAATCGCCGACAATACAGAAAATACGTGACCTCCCAGTGCTTCAGCTGTTGGGTCTGATCAACGATGTGGTCGAACCGGTAGTTACTTTTGCCGAAGTATTGTTGCTGTTGGAGGAAAAGTCGAAACCAAAAGTACCGCCGCCGAAGCCATACCTCCCACCACCACCACCGCCAGCACCGGGAGGTCATTATCAACAACAACAACAACCAATTCATTTGCAAACACACGACCAGATTATGGTCTTCACTGGCAATAATCATCTTCAGGTAAATCACTACAAGAAATACAGTGATAATAATAATAATGATAATAATGTGCCCAAAGATATGCCATATGTTGAGTAAGTATTATATAATATATAAGTAATAAAATTATTTTAAGTATTTATTTTTAATTTTTTTGTTACTGTAGTAAACAATTAGCAAATAATTATTATACGAAAACTAAAAGTAAAACTAATGCCAAACCATCAAACAGTTATACCGCCGGCGCCGCCACCACCACCACCAGTGCCGCCGCCGCCGAAAACAACGATCTGGTAGTACTGGAGTCTACACACCAGCGGCCACTGGCCAACAATATCATAGAAATATATGATAGAAAAAATCGGGAGCCAAAATTGTTGGCCAGTCGTGTCCGTTACCATCACTACTACTCGTCGCTGTCGCCGCCGGCAATGGCATCCCAGCCATCATCGATGATGACCACCACCACCACCACCGACACCGATACCATCAACAGTCATGTCCTACCACTAGATGGTCGACAACAACAACAATATATTGATAATAATAATTTTGTCTTTGACTTTACCGATGATAATGATAATCAATTAAATCAGTTTCAATTGGTCCGTGACTTACCAAACAATTTTGCCATAGCTTTCGGGTAAGTGTTATGCTATTTAAAAATAAAAATTTAAAAAACTAAAAAAAACTAGAAAAAAATTGTTATTTTATATATCAAATTATTTTCATTATGTATATATAATTTATTTACAATTATATATATTAATTAATTTTTTTTTATTAATTTTTATTTATTATTTTCAAGGAATCATCACAAGAAAAATACACAATATATGCCAATAAAATAATAATAATTATTATTAGTTTTATTATTAATTGATTTTTTAAAATATACTTAATTTTTTTTTAAAAAAAATATTTTTAACTCAACAAAAAATTAATGATAATTATTTGGATAATTTATAATAATTTTTTAAAAGTGTAAATAAGTAAAATTATTATATATATATATATTTAAATAATACTCAAAATGAAAATATTATAATATTATATTAATGTTTATCTTTTCATTTCTAATTTAATCACAAATTGTGTTAACAATTATAAATATACAAAAAAATATATATCTATTATTTTATTAATAATAAAACTTTTTAAAAATTATTGATTAAAAAAATTAACTATAAATCTATTGATAGAAATAATAAACTAAAAGTGATTCAAAACAAACAAAATATGTAATAATTTTTTTTTAAACAAATTAATTGCAACTATTTCTCAAAAAAAAATAATAATATTGTATAAAATTTATTCATAATTTATATATCGATATTATTATTTAGTTAAATTGATAAAAAAATACATTAAAATTAATTAATTAAATACAATAATAATAATAACATATCATTTAAATATTATTGTTGGAAACTCTATGATATAGATATTAAAAAATTGAATCTTAAAAAATATATATTATAATTAAAAAAAATACTTGAAAATTATTATTTAAAAAAATTAATTAACAATTAATTGATTGAAATAATAAACTAAAAGTGATTCAACAAAAAAACAAATTAATATTAAAACAATTTAATACTTTACAATAAAGTTTATTCATAATTTCAATATATTAATATTATTTAGTTAAATTAGTTAAAAAAAATACATTTTAATTAATTAATTAATTAATTAATTGAATACAATACATAATAATTAGTAATTATTAATTACATTTCGGATTAAACACATTATTGTTGGCAACGCTATTAATAATACTATTAATAATATCAATATACACTAAAAACATAATCTAATTTCGTATCGTAAAAATATTGATATCATTAACTTTAAACTTTAATAACTTTTTTATTTTTTAACTTAAATAAACAAATTTGATATCAAATAATAGAGTAATAAATCACAATTAAATTGATATACTAGATGGTCAAAACAATGGTTTAAATAACAAAATTGATTGTTATTGATTGATCAATGTTGATTCCAATGCATTGTTATTAATTTGAATACACGTAAATAAACAGTAAATGCAGTGATTATCATAAAAATGGTTAAAATACAAGAATTTTCAGATGCAATTCGCCAACAAATGTATGATATGAGAGTCAGCACCGGAAAGTCATACGCAAAAATAGCGGAACTGTTTACAACAACTGATAATACTGTCCGATCAATTGTAAAGAAAGTCGAAAAGTACGGGACAGTTAGAAATCTCGCAAGAAGTGGTCGAAAAAGATGTACCAGTGCTAAACAGGACAGGATATTGAGTCGAATTGTGGCAAAAAATAAGAAGTTGACCACCGATGAGATTAAGGAAGAGTTGGCCGCCAGAAACATTTTGTGTCACAGAAACACTATTAGACACCGGATTCAAGAAATGGGTTATTACAGTGGTATTGCGCGAAGACGTCCAATGATAAGCCTAACAAATCAGAGAAAACGATTAGACTTTGCACGAAAGTACATCCGGATGCCTATGTCATACTGGAGGAAGGTCTTGTGGTCAGATGAGTCAAAATTTGAGATTATTAGTACTAAACGTCGCCAACGAGTGTTTAAAAAGAGAGGCGAAAGCATTAATCCTGATAATATATGTCCAACTGTGAAGCACTCGAAATCAGTTATGGTATGGGGGTGTATGACAGGCCAGGAAGTTGGCCATTTGGTCGAAATTCCATCAACTATGGACCGCTACATTTACGTTAACGATATTTTGACCCCACATTTGCTTCAGAGTGCCAGAGATCTACAAATAAGCGATGATTTTTTATTTCAAGCGGACAACGACCCAAAGCACACATCAAAATTGGCAAAGAAATGGTTGTCTGACAATCAAATTGAGACACTTGAGTGGCCGCCACAGAGCCCTGACCTCAATATTATTGAACATCTATGGGATGAATTGGACAGACGTGTGCCAAAGAGCGAAAGAAAAAGTTTTTCTGCGTTTAAAGAGTCGTTATTTAATGTCTGGAAAAATATACCTGAAGAAGTCACAGAAAAGCTGATCCAAAGTGTTCCAAGAAGATTGCAGGCTGTGATTGATGCCAACGGAGGCAATACTCGATATTAATATTGTTTTTACTAAATTAATAGCTTTATTTTGTTAATAATATTTAAAGTTTTGATTTCACGAAAATACTTTTTGTACATAACTTTTTTTACCATTTCTTACTTCTTATGCTTTTTTATAGATAATATGATAATTAATGCAATTTTATTTATTGACTTATAAACTTTGAAAAGTGTTCTTTCATTTGATATCAAATTTGTTTATTTAAGTTAAAAAATAAAAAAGTTATTAAAGTTCAAAGTTAATGATATCAATATTTTTGCGATACGAAATTAAATTATGTTTGTAGTGTATTCTATAATAGCACTAACAATGAGATAGAGATAGAGATAGTGACACACAATATATATATAAAAAACTGTAAACTTTATGAAACATTCGATTCATTAATACATTTATTGATTGATTGATTGATTTGTTTATTAAAAAAAAAAAATAATAATTAAATAAATTTTTTTTAATTATTATTATTATTATTGTATTTACTATTCATATGATATGTTTGCTGTTGTGTTGTGTTTGTGTTGTGACCACTAATTGCCCGAAAAAAAAACTGTCCGTAAAATAATGTCCGTATCGTTGGACGACTTGCTATTCCTGAGCGGACTAGACATCGAGTACGGCTCCAATCGCGAGTTGGCCATCAATAGGGCCGCCGCCGCTGCCGTCGCCACCAATAGTTATGATGACCACAGTTTGATTGCCACCACCGCCACCACCACTACCGATAACATAGCCGCTACAGTTGCCAGCGATGATGATGATGACCACTGTTTGATTGCCGATAACACCGCCGATAATATTGCCGCTGACACCAGTGATGACCACAGTTTTATGGCCAATGATAACACCGTCGCCGCCGCCGCCGGAGCAGCCGATAGTACTGATGACCACATTGTTATGGCCAACACCACTGATAGCACCACCAGTGATGACCGCAGTTTGATGACCACCTATAGTACCACTGCCGTCGCCGCCGTTTCCAGTGATGATCACTCTTTATCGGCCGACACCGATAATAACGCCGCCATTGATGCCAACAATAACAATACTGCCGACGGCCACGGCGATGATGTCGACGACGACTCGACGGCATCATATAGTGACCAACAGCAGCAGCAGCGCAACGATAACCAATTGTCAATGTCGGAGATCATCAACTATTTGGCCGAACCGCCGTCGACACAGCCGCCAACAGCGATCGTCAACCACTCGACAACAACACCAACCGTACGGTATATGAGCCCCGATTGGCACCGACAGGTCCAACGACAAATGTCCGAACTGAAAGTGTTGGTTTTGGGCGAACCGCACACTATCGGCGGCGGTGGTAGTGGTGGTGGTATCGGCCATCACAAACTGACAGTCTGTTCCGATATCTGTCATCGCCGATTGGATGGCAATCTATCGCAACTGATGGACAGGCAAAAAGACGGCGGCGGTGGTGGTGGTGGCGGCCGGCGACTTATGTTCCGATCGTTTGCACCGTTTTCGCCAATTATTCGCATGACTACCGCTGTCGAGTCACTGGTATTCAGTAACTGTTCGGTCGATACGATTGCCCTGAAATGGCTGATCACTCAGTGTCCGCGACTCCAGTGTCTAACGTTTGACAATATCGACGGTATACCTGAACTTCATTGGCATAAACTCGGCAAACCATTGGCCAGTAAGTAGAGAGAATGAGAGAGAATGAGAGAGAATGAGAGAGAATGAGAGAGAATGAGAGAGAATGAGAGAGAATGAGAGAGAATGAGAGAGAATGAGAGAGAATGAGAGAGAGAGAGAATGAGAGAGAATGAGAGAGAATGAGAGAGAGAGAGTAAATGAGAGAGAATGAGAGAGAGAAATAATGAGAGAGAAATAATGAGAGAGAGATAATGAGAGAGAGATAATGAGAGAGAGAGAGATAATGAGAGAGAGAGAGATAATGAGAGAGAGAGAGAGATAATGAGAGAGAGAAAGAGAGAGAGAGTGAGAGAGAAAGAGAGGATATTATTGATTATTACCGAATTATTATTAATTAATTCTCTCTCTCTTTTCCCGTCACAACAGACAAATTGCTACACTTTTGCTATTCAGGTAATCGTATGAACAGTTGGAAAGCCTTACAAAAAATGGTCAAATATTTCGATATACTCGACGAACTAACTATTCACGATTACGGCCAATCACTGGACTCTCCGCTATCCAGTGTCTCATCCACTGTAACCCGACTGACAATATCCAAGTGTCAACAGTTGGACATTCGCTGTTTGAAATCTGTGCGCCGATCGGTACGTCTGCGTCAATTGACACTCGACTTATGCGGCCACCAGTCCGACGATATCGTACAGTTTGTCTATCAACGATTCACCTGTTTAGTCGAATTTCGGGTCAGAAATGGCCGCAAAATGGGTATCCGATTATACCTGCATCGACTGGATTTGAATGAGTTGACCATTCAGTACGACGAAGATCTGAATCTAAACTTTCTATCGACCACTATATCGCCGCGTATTCATTCACTGATACTGGTATCGGCTATTATTGTCCCATCGCTGGTCAAACATATCGGCGAATTGCGTAACTGTCGGCTATTGATGCTCAAAGATTGTTGGTTTAACTGCGAATGCAAAACTACCGGTTCCGCCGCCACTGCCGCCAGTACTAAGTCCTCCACCAAAACAACAACCGATACGCCAACTCCTCCGACCGCCGGTGACTATGAACCCGATTTACGATACAAATGCATCCAATGTTTCAAACGTACCATTCGTTGCATTGTCCGTATGCCAGCACTGGTCCGGTTGGCTATCAATGGCTACGATTTTCCCGAACTAACGGCCAAACAGTTGGAGTTGTTATAGAAAAAAGAAAAAACAAAATTAAATTAATTTTTTTCATTATTATTATTATTATTATATTATTAATTAATTATATTAACCAATAATAATAATTATTATTATTATTAGTATTTTTTAAATTTGTTTGTATTAATTAATTAATTTAATTTGTTTGTTTGTTTTAATTATATGATATACCGGTAATATTTTATATATAATATATATATAATAATAATAATTTAATTATTTTTTTTAATATGCAAATTTGTTAATCAAAAAATATTTAATAATATATATACCTATAATTCATATGACAAAAATTTTTTTACATAATATTTAATTTAATTATATAATATAATTTGTAAACATTAATTTAATTTAAACAAAAAAAAAACAAACAAATATTTTGTTACAAAATATATGATAAATATATACAATATATATAAACTATGATTACATTGAATAACAAACGATAAAAAAAGTGATAATTAATTTCAAAAAAATTATTATATTTTTTAGAATTGAATCTCAATTTTATTATTATTATTATAAATTAAATATTAAATTTTAATAAATTATATATAATAATGTAAATTATATATATAAAAAAATTAATAAACATTTTATTAAAGTTAATAATATAAATTGATAAAAATATTTATTATTATTTTTAATTAATTAAATAATTAATTAGAAATTTTTATAAAATTTTATAACTGTTTATAAAACAGTAGTATAGTATTATTGAAAATGAAAGACAATTTTTTTATTTATAAAAAAAGAGTAAAATATTTATATTTATATACAAAATATTTAAGTGTAAAACATTTTTATATATATTAAAAAAAACTTAAACTATAAGTAGTTATGTTTTTATATCATATATGAACTAAAAGTTTAAAAACTTAAATGTTTTGTATTGATAATAAAAAAACTGTATTTATATGTAAGTATTTGATATAAACTATTTAATAAAAAAATAAAACAAATTTAATCGCCTTTTTTACGGTTTAAATAAATTATATAAATTTTGAAACATTTTTTTGATTTGAAATTTATGTGTGATTTTTATCAACAAAAAAAACTTTACTTAAAAAAGATTTATATGACTATTCCCTATACTCTCTATGTATAGGATATTACAGTATAACTAAGTTTTTATAAAAAAAAGTTTTTTTGTATTTAAATATTATTTATTTATTTTTTTGACTTAAATATTATTTATTTTATATTGTGTTTTCTAATCTGTTATAAATATTTATTAAGTTATTAATATTAGTAATTATAATATTGTAATATTAATATTTAATAGTATTCAGTATTATATTAAATATTTAAATATTAATATATATTTTTTTCTAAAAAAAATAACACAAACATTATTAATAATAAACTATATTAAACTATCAAAAAAATCAAATAATTATTTTTAGTATCTATTTATATAAATATATATATATATAATGTGTAAAATACTATAAATGTTTTTTTTTAAAAATTTTAATTTTAATTTTTTTCATCTAAAATTGTTATTTAGATGATATATGATATTTGTGTGATTTAATCAACATATAAAAAATAAGTATTTTAAAATTATAAAATCTAGACAGTATTTAAAAATAGTAAATTTTATTAATAAAAAAAATATATATATATATATATTTAGCAAAACAAATGCTATTAATTTAATTTAATAGTTATTTTTTTTTGTTGGTTGAAATAAACATTATATTTAACTGTAATGTGAAAGTATAATACAGTTTAATATTATAATATTGTTAATACTACTGTATATATATAGTACAGTATATGTGTGCCATTATATCATTAATTTAAATTAATAGTATTTATGTTAATAAAAAATATCGGTATATAAAATACTTTAATAATCTTTTTTTTTTGATATAAATTTCAATACACATTGAGATGAGACTTAAGATATGATACTGTATGTGATATTTATAATTTTGATGAATAGGTAGCTCACAATAATATACATTATATATATATATAATATTTTATATAATAAAACTCGTTAACCCATATAATTATGTCATCTCATTTTGATGATATAGTTTTGTATGATAAAGTTTTTATATATACAGTATATGTATGTGTATGTGTGTATGTATGTGTGTATGTATGTGTGTGTATGTATGTGTATGTGTGTGTATGTGTGTGTATGTGTGTGTGTGTGTGTATGTGTGTGTATGTGTGTGTATGTGTGTGTATGTGTGTGTATGTTTGTGTATGTGTGTGTGTGTGTATATGCGTGTGTAATGTGTGTAGTGTGTGTGTGAGTGAGTATATGTGTGTATATGTAAGTGTATGTGTGTGTAAGTGTGTGTGTAAATGTATATTTGTGTGTAAGTATCAATATATGTATATTTGTGTGTATATATGTGTATGTATGTGTTTATTTTGTAATTAATAATATTACTGTGTTAATTTTAAAAATTGTTTGTCAAGTATAAAAATTTTATGTATATTTATTATGTATTTACAAAAAAAGTATATATAATAATCTCAATATTTATTAGTCATAATCCGTAAATTTATTATACATAGAAATAAATATAATTAAAATATATATATACTAAATATTATAGTATTTATAGATTAATTATAATATTAATTTGATTTTTTTAGTTTTAATTATAAACTTTATTTTTTCGCTCTCTATTACCAACTAATTAAAAAAAATTTGTTGACAAAAAAAGTTAATTAAATTTTTTTTTAAAAATTTTATTTACTATTGACTATATCTGAGACTCATCTCTACAGTGTATATATATATATACTGTATCTTCAAATACGATAGTAAACCAAATGATTAATTGTTTTTTTTTGTGTAAGTATTTTGAACTAAATTTAGTAAAAATAAAAACTAAATAAAAATAAATAAATAAAAAATATATGTTATGTTATGTTATATACGGTATATTAAATAACATACAGTATATAACTTTTTTTGTTGAATGATTTGAAACATTTTGTAATTATGTTAACCACAAATAATATATATATATATATATATATATATATATATCGTTATGATAATCAATGTTTATAGAGGGGAACGGGAGCTTTATGTTAATATATATATATACTGTATATATATATGGGTTGGTTAGGTTAAAGTTAAAGATCTATAGGTAAACTATATATGTTTATATGTTTGTTACACTAGTTTATGATATATATGTTAAATATATTTGATTTGATTTTTTTCAATGATATCACTGGACAGGTGGGGGTGAAAGTCGACGATTAAAATATATATATATATTAAGTAAAATAATACAACTATTTTTGGGACAAATATTTTTTTTATGTGTGTTATATGTTTGGGGTTTCTGACTATAAAAATGGAGGATTAAGTTTTTAAACAAAAATTTTTTTGGTATAATTTTGTTTGTTTGAAAGTTTTTTTCAATAAATTTTTTTGTTTATATAGAAAAACTTATTTGTCATACAATTTATATATGAAAACAAACAAAACAAACAAAAAAATGTTATCAATGTTTGTTTGCTAATAAAATTTGACAAAAAAAATAAATATCAATAAATATTTTGTATATTTTTTAAATTAATTAATTTTTGTTGTAATTGTTGTTAAAAAAATTGTTAATAAAATATTATAAAGTAATAAAATAAACAAACAAAATGTTCAAGCTAATTTTTCTAGCAATTATATTAATTATTGTATTTGTAATGTGTGTTAACTGTGATCCGACAATTGGCAGTATATATAATAATAATAATAATGCACTGATTAGTCAACTACAAGGTCTGGCACCTGGAGGTCGGACGGCAGGAGGTTTGCCGCCGACACTGGCCTCCTATCGACCCGACTATGGATATCCCTATCCTAATGTTGTCCAGCAAAATATGATCCGATATCTGCCCATACCGTAGGTGTCATATGTTTTTTGATTTTTAAAAAAATAAAATTATTTAATATTTTAAAAAAAAAATAGTTATAATAACTTTTTTAAATATAAGATTATTATTATTATTATTAGCAAATAGTTAGCAAAACTAAAGTATTATGTTATTAATAATAATTTTATCATAAATTCAATAAGTAATTTATAAATTATAATTTTTTTTTAAGTAACTATAATAGTAATTATAGTAATCATTAAAACAGTTTATAAACAAAAAAAATCCAAAAATAAAATTATTTAATATTTAATAATATATATTAACTGAATTGTATATTATCTAATACAGCTTAATATAATATATATATTTAAATCTAATAAATTATTTAGTAATTTTATAATTACAGTTTTCAAATATATATTATGTAAATATATATAGAGTATAATAAAATTTATTTACTAATTAATTATTATTATTACTACTATTAAATTTATTTTCATTATATGTTGTTGTTGTTAAAAATTAAAAAATTAAATACTAACTATATAATATTTAATTAAAATTAATAATATTTATTAATAACTAGTAAATTATTATTAAAAATAATAATAGTATAACTACCGAATAAAAAAGTTATATTTTTGCATTTAACTAAAATTATTATTAAACTTTAATTAAATCATTATTATATATTATTATATATATTATTTATACAATTTTTTAATTAAATATATATATTTAAAATTTTTTTTGTTGTTGTTGTGAAAATTGTAATTATTTTTAAAATAATCAATAATATACTAACTATATATAAATATAATATTTTTATTTTATTAATTATAGTATTTAATAGAAATTATTGTTTATTTTGCATTTAACTAAAATTATTATTATTTTAATTAAAAAAAAATTAAATACAAAAATAATAACTAAATATATATTTTTTTCTATAGTATCGTCAAAAAGGTAACCCATCATCACATACATCATGTTATAGCACACAAGGGTGTCATCAAAAGCAAGTATAGTTCAAGCACTGGTAGTCTCGATGGTAGTGGTGGTAGTGGACAGTCGTCTTATAGTATGGACTTCAGTAATAATGATGACAACGACAACAACGACAACGATATGAAAACTGTCGACAAATATCTAAC